ATACTCTTAATATTTCGCTCACCCGGTCACGGGGTATGACGGGCTGCAGTGATGGTATAATGCCAGGTCAGCAAGACTGTGTTCTCGGTACTGGGGTTCTGACGATCGATGGACAAACAGACCCAGACCGACATGAGTTGACACAGTGAGTTTGGAATGTCAGGCCAGCATGCCTGCATCGTCCGACGCGTGGTGTAACAATGAGTGGGCAGACAGAACAACCCGCACGAAATGAAGTAGATATGCATTCACCGGACTGATGCCACTATGGGTTAGTCTTGGCACGAGCAAATTATATATCGTTGTGTGGCAAGTTAATAAGTTAGCCACAGTAAACGTTGTCTGTTTGTTGTGTATATGTCGCTTGTATCAATAACAATGATAGCCACAAGAAAGCTGCGGCACGTGCGTCGACTGTTACATAAATTTGATAAAAATGTATTCGGGTGTAACGCCAAACGAACCGGGCGGCCTCTTAACTCCATGGATGTGTCATCTTGCTCTGTTGTATATGAGGCAGCCCGAAATACTGACCTGAGCATTCCGAGAATCGCGCAATATTATGCTACCCCATCATCTTCTGTGTAGACGTATAGAGTACTTCAGGTACAAGTGTTGAGGAGTGTCGGAAATATTTTTGATGGTATTTGAATATCATGGACGTGCGTTCAATCATGTTTACGGATGAAACAATTTTCCATCTGCATGGCGCAGATAATAGACATGTTTGGACAACCAATAACCCACGACAATGTAGCGCTTCCTATGTACAACATGGCGCACAGCTCATGGCATGGGCTGTGTTGAAAAATCAAAAATCATCAGAACGGTTTTTGCTAAGAATGTGACGGGTAACTAGTTTTTTACCAGAAATAATACATTGTATTTGTTGGCATCTTCCTACAAAGGAATGTTGCAGACCTGGGTCACTCCACTGCTGTAGTGGGAGGGTTCCTGAGTATGTTTGGTGCGCTTGCACATTTTGCACAGGCGTACGTGAGTACCTTAACGAAACTTTCGGTCGTCGTTTGAATCGTCCGGGAGGACCAATGGAGTAGCTGCATAGTCCCCGGGGTTGAACCTCTTACATGTCTTCCTTTGAGAGTACTTGAAACGTAGAGTTTATAGAACCAAGCCCACCTGTCTGGAAGAATTGAATCGGAGCGTCTCCAAAAACGTCTCGAGATCTCAGTGGACACTTTGGAGATAGTGTTAGTTAATAGCACGCGGCGAATGCTGCTCTGTAATCAAAACGGCAGCGGGTGATTTGAATATTTAATTTGTTGCTTTTTACGTGCATTTAACATACTTCATTTCAATGTACGTCTATTGCATAACGGTTGATTGCACGGCTAAATTAATGCGGTGGATAATAGTGCCAATACTTCGATGGTAGAATGAATAAATGCTAAGAGTATTTCCTAAGGAAAATACGACGGTTACGTGAGAAACATATACGGTACGAGTTTGATGCAGTTATGGATGGATCTCAGTCCTATTTACTTGCATGTACGGAAACGCGGTTGTTTCAGCCGATCAAAGATGCTGGAGTACTTCCATCTGACTAGGCAACTTTTAGGCGTGGTGGTTCACTTGTCCTACAAAGTGGAGGCGTCACACTTGATGTTCACCGTAAACCTGACTTTGGTAGATAAAACGATTGAAGCCCCGCAGGCTGTGTTACGCGCTTTTTGCAAAGAAGGATCAGGTGCAAGCGGTGCATATTTTACCTCAACCTCCTGTTTACCAATTTACTCAATTTTGTAGGTGACATTACTTAGAGCTTTCCTCGGTGTGCTGGTGATCAAGTTTGCCCGCGCTTCTGCTGTATTCGGTCTAGACGTCACCAGTGTGCCACCTCACATTCCCGACGGAAACAATGTATTACTGCTTTTTAAACTCAGAAACGAAGGGAAACCAAGCATGTAAAGTGTGTTCCTCATCTGTCTACGAGCGCATTTTGTAATTCCTCTGGATGTACACGATCGGTATCGGCGTATTCAAGGGTATTCAAGGTCGGGGGATACGTTACGTTATGGTGCCTTACTAAATCCTGCTGAATCCCAGTGACGTTTGCTGCTCCCTCCTTCGATTTATGCATAACATCCACTTTAGAATCCATCAGTTAAAGTTTGGCAACGCAATATGGCCGGCCATAATGTTGCCTTAACACCTCCATGTGAGCGTGTTAGCTGCCAAATGTCATTCATTTGTAGGCACTCTCGGTCCCCAATGCACTAGGAATAAACTTCATGCTGTTTGTTTATGTCCTTCGTATGAATGCACTTGCGATCATTTCATTGCATGATTCCACTCTGTTTGATCACCCGCATAAAATATCACCCCAGCACAGCAACCATATTTGGCCATCCCAAGTCGCTTAGCAGTTTTGCAAATTTCATCGATACTCAACGTCTAACTTAGTACCGGGACGGCTCACAAAACTAGTACGCACTTCTTACGACAACGTAGATATCGTTTGGAACAC